TTTATTAAACAATATGATTAATCAAGATATTAACCAGCAGATCAATTGCTAATAAATCAATGAATAGCAACTTTAAGTTGTTAAGTGCAGCCCTAAAAATGATCCCGATAATGATTCAGCTGGAAGTCAATAAACAATACTGAATTATTGGCCTGCCCTACACAGTAGTAGCTTTGGATGTTTAATATTATCACTATCATAGCCAAAATACCCGTTCATATCAATGATGAGGCAACAAGCAAAAACTAAACTCTACTTATTTAATTCCTGCAACGGCGTGTCACGATTTCAACGACAGTAAAAGACTCATCGCGTCTAGAAAAAGCAACTAGAATGAACAAATGTTGCACATTAAATATCACATAACGTAATGAGCTCCTGTAGTGTTCGTACACAGAATCATAAGTATAAAATGTTATGATGTGTTGGAAGGCAAAGCCACCCAATCATTGACCCAACACTACACTTTCAGATACCCAAGACCTTCGTGTTTGTTGTCATTTTAATTTCACCTTCATCACCTGTCTTCATATTAAACGTATGGGCTTATATTGAAGGCTGAACGCTCCATTTCTTTTCTCACATCCGCCCATCAGTGGGCTTGTCATTATCCCAGCAGAGATCCAATCAGAGAGCATTTTATCTCGATGGGAAACAGTCGCATTTTGTCTGATGGGAAAACACAGTGCAGAGATTCACACAGCACTTCAGAGTGAGCATAGGAGTGAGAAGGAGTGAGAAGAAGAGATAAGAAAAGAAAAAAAAACTGGCAAGCTAAATCATTACTGTCTCCATGTCCCATCCCAACTGGACTCTGAACACACACTGCACTGTAAACACAGTCAGGGCCACCGAGACGCTGCTTTATCAAGGGGACACACACACAAGCACACAGAGGCACGTATGCAGGCTGCACAGCCGACCCCTGCTGACTCAAAAGTCGAGCAGTCAGAAGACCACTAATAGAAACAGCCCACAGCCACTGATCTACACGTCGACCGCAATGCAGACAGACACGTATAAACACACAAGCCAGAAGCAACAAAGCACGTAATGACGACACAGGTGCAGTTTTGGGGGGTTTTGTGCGACAACATATGCTGCTGCTTGAGCTTTGATTATTCAGTCAGGTGGACAAAACCGATCGGCCAGCGAGCCCCTCAGTCAACCTGACAGACACACAGAACCCAGAGGGATCGTGTTGTGCTGGCCTTGTGCTTTCTGCACTGCAATAAAGACCGCCTCCTCACACCTGACAGCACTAAGCACTGCCACGCAGAGAACACAACGCATGCAAAGCAAACACAAACTGGATGTAAGAGACAGTCATGGGAACTCCCTTCCACACCCACACACACACACACACACACAGACAGACAGAAAAGACATCCTGGTAACCATGGAAACCCTCCACCTCCTCACACAGTGACATCACAGGTGTTGCATCACGACCCAAACAAGGAGGCCAAACAATCACCTGAACTGCTGGTTAATGAGCTCGAGGTGAGGAGGCCACAGGTGGACGGGCCCCCGGACGGGCAGATGAAGGGGATGATGATCGAAGGGGATGAGGAAGAGGGAGTAGGACTAAGAATAGATCCTCCAGCCTCGGAGAGACAGACAGAGAGGAAGAGAGAGGAGGAGGAGGAGTGAGACTCTTTTTTAAATATCTTTCGCCACCGGAACCGTAAGCCATATGTGAACAACTCAACACACACACACACACACACACACACACACACACACAGTCATACACACAGAGTGAGTGATAAGCAAGTGAGGGAGGGTGGGAGAGAGAAGGCAGATGGAGGCAGATAGATGAAGACAGACAGATAAATCACGCAGGGAGGGGGACAGGCTTGCCGGTACTTGATGGTAACCTATATAACCCTTATGTAAGCTGTTAGTGGCAGGATGCTGTGCTCTGTAACGCTGGCCACATCAACTTACAGCCATCAAACCCACGTAATGGTCTGGTGTTGATCACAGGAGGGGAAAATCTACAGTAGCTAATGGCCATATGGCACATATAAATGCAGCAGATAGGGAACTTATCGAGTCCCTTAGTGTTTGAGGAAGGGGGGGCGGATACATTTTGAAATAGACTGGGGCTAAGTTTTGGCTAATGAGCTGCAAATGAGTCTGTATATCAAATCTAATTCTGGCTGCAGTGACTTTCCTAATATCATCCAGCAGCTCCTGTCTTCCCTCTGAGGCACTGGAAGCAGCAGTAATGAGCAACAGCCAGCCTTCAGAAAAAAAAGAAAGAAAAGCCTAATGGTTATGTGTGGTGGTCAACAGAAGGCAATGGCTTTCTCTTATGATGCTTTATGAGCTGTGAGGCACAGAGGCTGTACAGCAGCAGCAGCGGCAGCGGTAGTATGGTAGCCCCTGGCCCGGTCACGGAGCTCCGTCCTGGGGCTTGAGCTGCAGCTCGGCTCAACAGCTGTGTCCAGCTGCGCTACTACAAGGAGACACTGGGCGCTTTGTTCCCTACAGGGCTATAAGCAGGAGTTGTGGGAGTGCAAAAGGTCTCCGTGTGTGTACACATAGTTTCATTTCCACAAAAGGTTAACGGCCTCTAGCCCCCCCAACCCCACCAACCCCCACGCACCCCCGGGTCCGAGGGGCTTCTTCCACCGCAAACGGCCTCTAACGTTACAGCAGCGGCGGCAGGCGTAGAGGGAGCAGCGGGACAGGCTGGCACAGCCAACCAGGATGTGTGGAAACATTTTGAAATGCGCTGAAGCCAAACGCTGTCCAAAAAGAGCCGAGGCAGAGAGACACACGTACACATCCCTTGTGTGTTTTCCAATGGTGAGATAAAGCTGCCTTTTAGCGTTGCAGCGACCACCGACGACAACAACATCAACAACAACAAAACATCGACAGATGCGAAGCCCAGTGTGCAGGAAGGAAAGCGCCGGGTAATCACGGTCCACTCAGGAAACAACAACAAAAGAGAGAAAGAAACCACAGGCAGGAGCGTGAACGGAATAAATGACACCTCTGGGAGACGATTAAACAAGTAATTCACGCGTGTACTTACTCAGATGAACCGGTTCCGCTCGGTCCACTGGAGGGTCGCCGGTCGGTCTTCCGGGCTGTGTGTCGGGCGGGATCTGCGCTATGGAGACTGGAGAGCTCACAGCCTCGAGGACTGAACGTAAACTGTGGCTTGCGTCATTTCACCAGGATGCCACTATTGCGCGCAGCAATGCAGCCATCTTGCTGAGGAGTGCCCCACCAAGTCAGCAATCACTGCTGGAGCCGAGCTGCTGCCTTGTGTTTACACAGAGACAGTCTGTGGTATCTATTATTTATCTGAAGGGAAATCCGACAACAAAACTATATATTTTTTTATTTTTTTATTTTGTCCTGTGATAAAAAATATCCCATGTTTGGTGTCACTTTAAGCTAGTACTAGAAATGAACTTAAGTATATTTACTTAAAGATCCCCTCCAGACATGTATAAAGACTGTCCTATAAATAGTCTGCTCTGAACAGTAACGTGTGTCTGATTTGTAAAAAGAAAAAGCATAATTTTCATATTAAAATCCTTAATCCCCCCCCAAAAAAAGACACCTTCTACCTCATTACAAATTCCCAAATCTATGAAAATATAAAATTGTGTTCATTGTTAACGTTTTCCTGCTGGACACAAGATGTCTCCTACTCCTACTAGTCCATTCTCAGTGTTTGTGCACTGGTGGGTTCAATGTGCTCCATACTGGACCAGGACTGACTTCCAAACTATTTGTAAAGACACAAATTATGCTCATAGGCCCCGCCCCTTAATGTCTGACTTTCAATGAGCAGAAACTTTCCACTTTCATCAGATCAATCTTAAAAACATCCTTCTAGTGTCACCCCACTAGAACTAACACCCAACTGTAGGAACAATAAGAAAAACAT